AGTTGTAAAGACTCATTCAGGGAAAACACAGGTTTTTTGGAATGTGACTGAACCTTGACTTTCCTTGTCTCATGATCAGGGCAGTCAAGGCTTTAGCTAGAGAGGGACATAGGGCCAGAGTGTGGTGTATGTTTTTAGTTACACTAGCACTGTAGGATAAAAATTGCTAAAAGTCTTTGTAGTCGCTTAATATTTTTGGCATTTTGACCTTTATAAAATCTTTTTTTTTTTTGAAGAAATATCTTCAAGAGAATGGGTAAAATAGCATTTCAGAGCCTCTAAATTTCAAACTTTTCTGGGGGAGCATGCTCCCAGACCAATCCTAGAGGCTGACCTTTCAGCACCTGAATCAGTGTCAGCTGTTTACTTCATGAAACTAGCCCTCTACTCCCTAGACTAATGCCTAGAACCTCCCTAGAACCCTGCACTTTGTAGTTCATGTATAACTCGATGTTCAGTTTCCTGTCTAAAATTTATACTATTGTTTCATTATCCCACAGACCACACGTACATGTATAGTCACAGAGAGCAAATAATGGCTTTGATTCAATAATTACAAACAACTGTAAATTTTAGGAGTCTTGTCAAAGTTGGGTGAAGTTTGGGAGTGTCTTGGGATTTAAGATATTTGAAATATTTAACTGAAGCAAAGAAAAATAAGAACCTTTATCATTTAACCTCCCGAACTTATAATCCTTTTATGAAATAACCCCATTCAAGAAGCAAACCTCAGAACCATTGTGTTTATAGAAGTCAGAGATCCAAATCTTGTTCAAGCCTTGCTCAGGAGCAAGTGATTTTGCCCAAACAATTTAGAGAAAATTTTTAAAAAAATCCTTTGTCTTTAGGCAATCAGAATTCAGTATGTGTGCTGAAATTGTTTATAGTGATACTGTGTTGGATAGTGACATTCAACACTGGTAGCTTCACCAATAGATTTTTTCTAAAGACCTTTGGTTGTCCTAAATAACAGTAAAAATATTGTTCTACACCCATTTCACTACCAATGGTAGTACCAATATAGCATCATGATGGCTGTGTCAGATTGTTTATTTTTTCCCTTTTTATTTTTGTCAAACCAAGTGTCTCTTAGATATCTTTATCTGCTTCTCTATCCAGTTGTAAAGAGTGAATAAGAATATTCTTTCAGGTGCATGCAACGAGACAAGCATTCATGTCCGATCTAGACAGACCTTCCTCTGGTGTTAGAGATATGAAGAGGCAGTGCAGAGGCCTTGGAATGGCAGGTGAGGTGTACTATTCTCAACCCATTCTCTTCTAACCTTGAAGTTTAATTCTCTATTTTTGTGTGGAAGGAGTGATTACAGGATTGACTATTAGAAATGTGTTTAAATTAGCAATTAAAATGGACTGTTCCATCTTCAAGATAATTTGTCTAACAGGTACTGTATGACTAAATGCTGTCCAATTTGGATTCTGCTTCTGCCAAAGTGAACTTGGCCTGTGGCCTAATGTTCAATTTTGGCAGTCCATAGTTTTTTTCCATCCAATAAGTTCAAAATTGAACACCAGTTAGTCTTATTACATAATTATACACATTTTTACTTATGTGTATATTTGTTTACTTTTAGCATCCATCCAAGAGCTTATTGGGTAAGTGTCAAATTAATCTTTCTTACAAAACTGTTTATGGCAGAAGTTTCTAAATGTCTCTTTCTTTTCGCTGTCTTCTCTTTATTTGAGTTTGAAAAGTGCTTTATTTTAGTTTGGAAAGTGATTGACACCTGTTTAAATGATTTTAATTAATATGCTATGAGCAGTTTTACCAGAAAATATTTTGGGTATGCGTTATTGCGTCTAAAAGCTGAATAAAAAATTTCAACCGAGAAAATACTTTTTAGTTAGCAGCTGATATTTAATGGAAGAAAGTTTAAAGAAAGGGATTAGTATTATGTTCTTATGGGCAATTCCATAGCATTAGTAGGAACTGTCATATGATTGTGGTAAAATTTAATTAATTTAGACTAAGGATGGTTTAAGGCTTAGCTTAAGTCCAGTGGCCACTGATCTGCTTACGACTGAGTGTGGCAAAGGTGTGTTAGTCAATTCACAATTTCATGACTTGCTATCAATGTGATTTAGGCCAAGAAATGTCCATCCCTATATTGTTCAGCATAACATCAGTAATAACCATGGGCCAGTAGGTTATTAATTTAACAGAATTGCTTTCTGGCCAGCTAGTAGCTGTTGATTTAGGCTAATGAATCCTTCGTTGAACATCATGTCTGTGTCATTAGTAAAGTTATGTAGAATTTGCTTGTAAAATTACTGTAGCCTCAAGTGGCAGCTAGTTGATTCAGGGTACGAGTTGTCCCCTTCATAAGTTCCTTGTTAACACTGAGTGTAGTGTGATGAAAATTAGTCAAGGTGACATATGGAAAAACATTTACATACATAAAAAAATTCTTAAAGCCATAAATTCAAGAGTTACAGGTATATTGAACAAACTCCAGGGAACTAAATTGAAATTGGTTGCAAACTTTATTTCTAGAATTTGCGTCACCACACAGCTTTGTCAGATGTTGTAATAATTTTGTAATTATGAGGGCTCACAGCCTCCTTATTGATGAAAATTGTATGTTTTAAAAAAAATTCTGACATAACTCTTTTGACAGCTTTTGTAATTAAACCTCTCTTTTTTGTTAACTCAAGAAAATGTGTGGTTTGTAATGGATCACCTTATATTCACTATGTGCAGCCTATTGTTGATTGCTGTATTCTTGATTCTGTAACATGTAATTTGCATCACAAGAGTAATGCAAGTAATTTCTGCTTGCAATACTTTTGCTATTTAAATTAAATTTGGTTCCTATGGATATTCACATTCTGGACTAAAATTTAATATTAATGAGATCTCTTATGGCAGCTGCTGTTGTAGAACTGTCATTTCTTCCTCTAAAAATAAAGGCAGAATTGATCGTAATTTTCTGAGTAAGCTTTAATGTTCTAACTTCTAATTTATTTTTGTTAATAAGCAAACTTAAATTGTACACTCTCTTCTGACTGATATAATTTCTTACAAGTCTGGGTGAATATAACTCTGATGACAGGACATTTACTATCTTGAAGGTCATCACATCAAATTCTTCAGAATTAGATTCTGCACTACTTTTCTTTCCTTAACTGCAGAAGCATCATTTAGTAAAAAGCTACAGCTGTATGTTAGCAGGATCAAGTCACTTTCTAAATAACTGTGAGCACGCTAATAAGTTGTCCTACTCTCCATACAAACTATACGACTGTCATTCTTAGTGACAAGCCAATAATTTCAACTCTGTCAGAGAAAATTAAACTAAGGTAGCCATTCCAACCAATAAGTTATTTTGAATTTAATTAAGAACAACATCAAAGGGCTGTTTGTGCGGCAAGATCCACTGTCATGTGCCACCCTCTATAAACAAGGCAGCTAAGAACCCATTAGGAAATGACATAACTAATCACCATGCAAGAGAGAAAGAGTGGGTTAACATTTGGAAATTTTGTAAAATAATCTTGTTGCATAATTTATTAATTATTATGCTCAATTAATCACACAGTTCTTATCTATATATATTGCTTACAGTTTATTGTATGTGAATCAAGGGATCATTTCTTACATTTATCACCAAGCTTTTAGTAGAGCAAAAATACCAAGGAAGACCTGCTCCTTTAACTTTCTGCCGTTTTTTTTTTCTTTTTTTGTCTACTCCAAGCAGAGCCATTTTCTTACTCAATGGTGTATGTATTTTTTCTTTGTCAGCATAAATGCAATGTTTGATGCCTGCCCGTCTACATTTTCTTTAGTTAACATTTTAAACCGTTGTTTTAAGTGTAATTTGTGTCTAATTCCAGGTGTCCTACACCAGGATGTGATGGAAAGGGACATGTGAATGGAAAGTTTGCATCACACCGCAGGTTAGAGAGAGCATATTACGTTGATAACCCAGTGCGGGTTAAAGTCATTAAATGTGTATCTGCCAGTGGTATATCCAGTGGTCTAAAGGGCTGATGCAGCTTGAAGTCGATATCCAGAGGTTTGGAGATTAAGCTGTGACCATATTCCCTTGTTTGTGGTCCAAAGGCAAAAACAAGATAATATTTTAGGGTCTTAGTGTGTCTCTTTACCATGGTACAATGTAGATGGGGACCTGAAAAAATATTTAGGGATAACCCACCATTAACAAAGCATGCATCCTACCATTTGGGAGTACAGTGTAAATCTATATATGTGAGGTAAAGTCTGCATCAGGTCAGTGGCTCATTACAGCTGGAGCTTTTCCTGGTTTCTAATATTAGCATTAAGCAATGAGGAGTATTACTACTCCTTCCATGGATGGGATGCTAGTCCATCACAGGGTTCCCCTCCAGCATTAATTTGCCAGTACCCATTTATATGTGGAGGCTCAATGGCCTTATGGTTAGTACGCTTGCCTCAGGATTGAGCGGTCACGGTTCGAGCCCTTGCAAGGGACATTATGTTGTGTTCTTGGGCAGGATGCTGTACACTCACAGTGCCTCCCTTACCCAGGTGTATAAATGGGTACCAGTGAATTTAATACTACAGAAACTGGAGGTAAGTACTATCCTGAGGGGCCACTGGGCTCATGAAGACTTTACCTAGTGTCTACTCTTTGGTGGAGAGAGGCAGTGTGAGGGTGTCTTCCCCAAGAACACGTTGCAATGACCCTGGCCAGGGCTCAAACCCAGACTGCTCGATCCAGAGTCCAGCATGCTTTCCATTGGGCCACTGCATCTCCACAGAGTCAGCAATATAGCCTCCAGTAAGTGCTTCTTACTAACAGAAACAATCATATTATTGTCAGGTGGCAGTACATGCATGCTCTTTAGAATTTAACCCAAGAGTCAAAAATGGCTAAATTGTGTAGGCATTGATATTAAAAAAAATGTGATGTAACACCGTAAATATTATAGAGTTTAACTTCCACTGTACCTATTTTCAGTGTCTACGGATGTCCCTATGTACAGAAAACAAACAGGAGGTTTTCAAGGACAGACAATGGAGGTAACTGATGGATGGAGTGTAATTCAATGCAATTGTGCATGAACTCTGGAAAAGTCTATTTTTATTTTACTGAATCTAGAATTTCCCCATAAACAGATGTTGGCAGAGGATTTTCAGCGTACTGCAGCAACCAATGAAAATATACTGGGTACAGAGGCTTACCCTCTTTCAGTGAAATAACGTTTTGGACAGACAATGATGCCAGTTGTAATAAAATTTTCCTCTTACTAGAACCACATTCAAACCGAATGCTTCATATCTGTCTAAGAAAAGAAATCTTTGATCATACAAACAATGTTTGTGTTATAAAACATCTTTGTTTTCTTAATACTCAATATCTCTTATTAATCAACAGATAAGGATGCTGATTCAGATGCTTCAAGGTGATTATATATCAATGAATAACAAGAGACAGTGGAAAACTGTTTTTCTTTTTTTTTTTTTTTTTTGGAACCCTCAATATTTCACATTTCTCAAATATTCAAAGCAAGTTTTTGCTCCCTTACCCTCGATTTTTTGAGCCTCCTAATTTTTTGAACCAATTTCCATTCTCCTAGGTTGTTTTAGAAATTGGTCTGAAAACTCAGGATTCTGCTGTTTGTACTCTTCTCTGTTGGATGTTACAGTTATTTAGAAAACAGCTCTAAGAAAATTTGCGTGCTGATTGGTTAAAAATTGTGTTTCTATAACTCGATGGAAACACAGAACTAGCACAAGCTGTTGACATAATGATGGCACCTGCAAAGAGAATTTACATTTTGATGATCAAAGTAAACAAGTTGTTTTCCTTTTTTTCATCACGGTGTTTTCTAAAAGAAATAGAAAACATGTTCTCTGTGTTTCTATCAAGTTATAGAAACATTCGTGAAAGTTTGGGAGAACTCAAAAAAACTTCCACTAGCGTTTCTATAACTCAATAGAAACACGGTATATGTTTTCTATTTCTTAATTAATACCCCAGTATTTAATTCATGTTGACACCCTTTTTTTGGATCACAGATGTCCCACTCCAGGATGTGATGGTTCAGGACACAAGTCTGGATTATTTGCTTCTCACAGAAGGTCAGTATCTAGTACATCATCAGAATGTGGTCTAGGCTTAGTCACAGCAGGTGTAATTTTATACCTGGGGGTGAGTCCCTTATAGAAAGGACAGGGGTGCTCATCATATGGAAAAACTGATTTGGTACCTCTTCTAAGGATGTTCAGCCTCAAAAGGTCCCACAGCATGAGCTTTCACAGTACCTTTAATGGTATTGAGCCAAGAATGTCAGCGTCAGTTTATGTGTTACTTCAGAATTTGGTAACTCCTATGGGTGAAAAAAAATTTAAGCCACGTCCACAAAACAGGGTCTTGTTACCTCTTGGGGTTCTTTTCAAAATTTCCGACAAGCACCCCTCGCGCTTTTTATATGGGAGTTCCCTCCAGGATATTTTTATTACCACATGCATGGTGCCTTATTTGTGGAGGGGGATCCTAACCAGGAGCCTGGAAGTAAAGGTGATGGGGCTGTTGGGGAGAAAAAAGAGGGTAGGAAGAGGGATTCCCAAGCTGTCAGAAACCAAAAAAATAAGGAAAATCTTGCAACATTAGTCAATATTTTTACAATAGCAACAATGCAATATTTATGCAATATTTTATTGAGGAAAAAACCAAGAGGTGTGAGCCACAAAAAAAATGGGAAGGTAGAGGTTGTGGAGGAGAGGGGAGGGGGGGGGGGGTGGGGCTCATACTCCCATGGAAAACCCATGGATTTCCCTTGTTGATCTTTGTTTTGTTGCATTCAGTGTGTTCTTTTATTGTGTCTTAATGTAACGTTGCAAGGTTACAACCTTTTCTGTTTCAGTCTGTATGGATGTCCAAGAAGGGTTTCTGTGGATAAAGATAAAAATGGTAAATTATTATCATCATAAATTTAAAATATTATATTTTTAGTTATCATCATGGTTGTCGTTTAGAAAACATCTTAAGTTAGCATCACTTGATATCACTTGATGTTGTTCAGTATCACTTAACACAACTTGAAGATGGATGTAGATGTAATAAGGTTGCAACTAGGTTGGAACTGAAATAGTTTCTAGTAAAAAAAGACACACATTTTTTTAATGGGATGTAGCTAGGATGGGGCTCAGGATCTGATGGAGGGCAAAATCCATAATAAAAAAGTTTTATTTTTAAGTAAATCAGAACTGAGCTCCGAAGATCTGATTTGGTAAGAAAATAATTCATTGTGATTGCATGAGTTAGACAAAGGGTCTTTTATCAATATGTTGGCTCAAAACCTTTTTTGTGTGTGCATTAAACTTTAGGTAAGATGTCAGGAGCTGGAGATGAGAATGGAGCAAGGTAAATTGCAGTCCTCTCTGTCCTCTTGAATACATAATATGTACAATTCAAGGAGTAAATGCTATAGAGCAATCTGTTGACTTTATTTTAACAGGATGTCCACTCTGGGAGGAGAGAGTCCCATATAAAAAGAGACACAGGTGCTCCTCATACCTTTTAGGGTTTAAAAACACAGTTTTGGTACCTCTTGGGTTGTTCAGCCTCAAAAGGTGCACAGCAGAAGCCTTGGCAGTACCTTTTAGGGTATTGAGCCAAAAAAAATATGAGAGGAGATAATGTGTTGTTTTAGAATTGGTACCTCTTAGGGGTGAAAACCATTTCAAGCCACACCCACAAAGCAGGATCTTGGTACCTCTTAGGGATTCTTTCAAACATTTCTAACAAGCACCCTGTCCTTTTTATTTGGGAGTCCCCCCCCCCCCCCCCCCCTCCCCCGTCCACTTTGATAGGCTTTATATCTACATGTATTTATACCCCACAAATTAACTTTTGTGTGATTTTATTGGTTACCTGATGTCACATTGTGCAAAATCACAAGAAGGATATCTCGCAATAACCCCCACCTCCTCAATGTTTGACTAAACAACCTTTATTTTCTCATTTTAGGTGTCCCACTCCCGGATGTGATGGAACTGGACACAGGACTGGGTTGTACACATCTCACAGAAGGTAGGTGTGCTAGTTAACCTGCCAGTGTTGATGTTTATGTATGGTTTGCTGTAAATGTCATATAATTTTATAGAACAAAGAGTTACAGGTGGCTTACCATGGATATCACCTTCTTCAATCAGCAGGGCATTTCAGATTTATTTTTCCCCTTTGTCAACTCCCTTGATGAGCATCTTATTTTCACCTTCTCTTAATTCATTCTCTTGTTTGGACTGCTCATTGTTAACTGATGTATTAGCCAAATATTAGGTTTATTACTGTGCCAGGGAAATGGCATTGTTTATTTTAACCCATTGAAGCCTGTGATGCCCATAACCGACCGTGATGATTGTTGGCCTTTGTTCCACTTCTGATGTCATCACCTTTGACCAAAGCTTAGAGACGTAGGACACTTTCTCATCCAAAATTTTGATTTCTGCACATACCTAAGCACTAATGTCATAAAATGCAATGCTAGTGGAAAGAAAGGCATGCTGTCTTGTTGCAAATGCCTTTTTGAGTAGACTGGAGCTAATTTAGCTCAATGTCAAGGCTACAAATGTCCAAAATGTCCGAATATACATTTTTCCAAAAATCTCCAGGTGTCCATGGGTTAAAGTTCATGATTTTTAAGTTGAGCTAGTAGAAGAAAGGATATTCAGTTGGGAATTCAGTTGATGTGTTGTATACATCCACAACCAAGAGATATGGTTTTAAGTGCTTATACTCAAAGGTTAAGCCACTTGTGGGTATAAAATAATATTTATGTGAATTAATTACATTCAAAGCAACCATAAAATAGCATTTCATCTTTTTCTCTTGCAGCATTAAAATCATATCTAAATGTCATGTATTATTATCCAGTCTTTCAGGGTGTCCCCTGGCAACAGTTCAGAAGCAGATTGCTCGGCAATGTAAGAGTCCACCAGCTACTCCACCACACAAGAAAAGTGAGTTAATTGTTTAGTAGTGTCGTAGCCATGTAATGCATTTCGTTTTCCCCAACATTGCACACTTTTATTGGCTTCTTCCAGGTCCCATGATATCTAATGATAAAACTGTTTCCTGTCAGAAGATTCTCAGTGGGCTACATTGCAAATCTTTGACATCAGAGGGTAACAGTGCACTGTTAACCTCGATTCCCAGGCTCTCTCTCTGGGATTGAGGTTGTGCACTGTTAACTGGGAATGCTGACCAATGACCGCGTCTTCTAAAGTCTTTGATCTGCTATTATAGCAAATCACTTATGGGATGGACTATTATTTTTTTGAGGGAGGGGGAGTGGGGTGGGAATTGTGCAGGGGGAGCCATTGGAAAAAATTGAGTGAGTGCTTTCTACCATCTAGGTCACGTGTTTGACTTGAAAAAAAATTCTTGTGCAAGTTATTGCCCACCAAGAAAATCATGCACAACCTAAACGTGAGAAAAAAAATTCATGCCCCAGAAAATTGCCCAACCCCCACTCTGCCCTCCCTTCCCTCTTCAAAAAAGTAATGGCAGGTCCCTGGTTCTTTGGGAAACCAGTTCGTTTTGTTTCCCTTGAATCTCAATGTTTCCTGAGGCGGGTAGATTCTCGGAAAACAAAATTAACTGTTTTCTTCCAGACCAGTCATAAACTCGGATATAAGAAATGCCTAGATACGTATAGCAATTTCCTTATATCCAAGTTTGGGGTAAACCAGCATTACTTGTTGCTGGCTTGTTGGGTTCCTGAGTATTCTGACCACTGTATCTCGATTATTTTAACTGAGTTGGTTATGTTTTATTTTAGCACGCCCACCAAAGTACATTCTAACAGACAAGACACCCCCTCAGGAAAGCCCCACATCACCAGACTCTGGAATTTCCTCTGCATCCAGCACTGAAGACAACTCGGCAAAGAAAGAACTCAACTTTGACTCTGACAATAAAGATTACCCAGTTCACTTCACCTTTCCTAAAAGCAAGCCACCCAAAACAAAGGCCGAAACTCCATCTGTGACCTGTACATCGACAACGCCAACTGTTACCCTCGCTCCATTTTCAATGCCAAGCGTCATCTCGGCTACGACTGCCGTGGCTGTTGCCAATTCTGTCATGAGTGGTAATTTGGCTTCATTACCTAAAGAAGTGCCTACGACGGAGTGTTCAGCTGAGGACACTGAGGATCGAACTGTTAAAGGACCCATGGAACAAGACAATGATGGTGATGATGATGAGGAGGAGGAAGAAGTGAGCTCAGATGAGATGTGTCTGGAGGCAAAGGAAGTGGTGCAGTATTCATCCTCTGAGAGTTCATCTGATGATGATGATGACTTCAAAGATGATGGCGAAGACTCTGATTATGGAGGAGGGAAAGGTGAGTGAGGGCTGATTATTAATTTATTCTTCAAGTAACCTGGTCTGGTGAGTCTGGTCCTAATCTAGAGATTGAAGGAGCTGCCTCATGCATTTGGTGGTAGTGTTTAAAGGTCCAGTTTCTGCAGTATGAAGTAGCTAGAATTATTGCTAATTCCTTGCTGAAACTGGGATAACCTGACGGTTATGGTACGGTACGTTTGGTCCTATTTAGGCCTAAGGTTTAAACCAAGTTGTGTACTAAAATCAGTTGTAAAGCCGTAGATTATGGTTTAATTGTTAAGTCAATACAGTCATCATTCTTTGTCATAGGATGGGCTGTTAGTCCATCTATGGATGCCCCGACATTTTGCCAGGTTACACTAACAGAACGCCGGTATTTATTTGTAATCCTGGGTCGAAGAGGGACTGAACTGTCTTGCCCTGCAAGAATACAACACACTGAGCTCATCCAGTATTTAAACTTAGATCTCTAACTCTTGATGCAGAATCCAGTGCAAATTTCTACAGACCTGAGTACTAGGCCTAAGTGAAGATTTCAAACCTGTCTGAAAAGTACACCACAATTTTTTCTGGTTCCTGCTACCTATGTTAAGTTGCAAGATAAACATTTTAATTTTATTTTGTGTTTTCTTGTTCTCAGGTGTCTCAAAGTTTATTGGGTATGTAGACCATACGCATCACTTCTTAAACTTTCCTACCAGATAGTTTTTCTTAGCTTTTGAATTTGAGTAGACGGTGAAATGGTTTAAAAAGTATTCTTCGTCAACGAGAAGTCGTACTTATTAACATTAATTTTGTCCTCAGCTCTGAGTCAAAAATACCTTACCAAAATGTGAACTGGAAAAAGAATAGTGTTGTTTTGATTGAGACTCTTCAAAGAATGATAAAACACTAACACATTTTTTTAATTTTTCAGTTGTCCCACAGAAGGCTGTGATGGTTCAGGCCATGTGAATGGCCGTTTTGCCACTCATCGTCGCCTCTCTGGTTGCCCAAGGGTCGCTAGGAACGTGCCTCTTCCAAAAACCCCAACAAAGCGCGAGTTTGGTAAGATACTATTTTGGATTGATACACGTTAATTCTTGACCTATCTAGTAGAACTTCTAACTAAGAAAATACACCTCTGAATCAAGGCAGACAAGTCTTGGAACAAACTCTTAGCGTGCTCCTCATGCAACTCAAATGATACCGTTACGCGTGGTCTGTATTTATATTTGTTATGAGAAAAGTGCAGTTGTCTTCGTATGGTATCACTGGCACTCAATATCTCAGTGATAATCTTGTTTTGGTATTGCAGGAGCAGATGGAAAACCCAAAGAGCTTCTTAGGTGAATGATTGTCCAATACTCAATTACATTAAGACGTTTGCCTTTTTTTAACTTTTTTTTTATTTAGTGTTATAGAATCACTGTAAGGAATCTAACTTGTGATGGCGCTGTTTTTAGCCTACTGGTTTGCCTCCGGCCAGTTGAGACTCTTAATAATGTTATGTTCTGTTTGAATTATTTGTTTCAGTAAGTTATTTGCTCGGCCCCACTAACCTTTGAGCTTTAAACACTGCCGAGGCTAAATAGGGGTTATTGCTATTGTTATTAGAATTTTTTTCCCTTTTGAAAAATAAGAACTTTAGGTTAACTTTAGGTCTTTACGCTAACTGCAGGAAGGATTTGCCCAGAAGGACATTTTCCTCTTAGCGCAATAAGTTTCAACAACTGGAGCAGGAGTCGCCCAAGAATCATCCATGAAATATTGACATTTCTTGTTGTTTATTTTGGTACACAGTTGCCCAACCCCCAACTGTGACGGGAGGGGTCATGTCTCAGGACAATATGCCACTCACAGGAGGTAGGTCACAGTCTCACTCAGTTGAAGTTCATGAAAGCTTTCTGTAGTAAAGGCGAGCGTTTTCCAATTTTACGACTGTTCTTGTTTGGTTCTCAGTTTATCAGGGTGCCCAATGGCGGCCAAAATGCAGCAACAGGAACACCAAGAAGTTAGGTACATGTATGTGTTTGACTTACGCAGTGAGTAGTCTGAGTTTCAGCCGTTACGCTTGGAGCATTGCGTTGATAAGTGTAATCTCTATTCGTTAAAGGTGTCCCACCGTTGGTTGCGATGGAACAGGTCATGTGACTGGCAAGTACGCCTCACACAGAAGGTAGGAAGTAAAGAATGTCGCCTTTGAGGTCTTTGAGCGTTTGTGGGTTAGTAGGAGTACAGAGAACTATGCCTTGCCACGTTTCTGAGCATGATACTGCTGGAATATTACTCCCCCCTCCCCTCCTGGATGGGATATTAACTGGTCAATCGAAGGTTACACCCCCCCCCCCCCCCCCCCCCCC